CAGACTGCTGTGTGAACTCTGTTTTGCAGGCTAATTCAGTAGAGAGTGAGCAAGACGTAGGCAGTTTTTGAAATTCTGACTTATCATGTGTTTCAATAATGCATGTTTACAAAATTTAAGTGTGCAAGAAGTATAAGACCAAGAAATATTTGAGCAAGAAGTTGAGATATCTAATTTAATGGAGCTGGCATTGAAATTTTTCCAATACATGTATTAAAGATGTTTACTATCCTTTTATCCTAATGTACTGACTTATCCACCATTGCCATCCATAATCATTATGGTACGGTGTGCTCTATGTGCTAGAGCATAATGCTATATTACAGTACTATAAATCTCCTTAATGTGCAGCATAGCTTTTGGCCACCCTGAGATTGTACGGTTCTCCTCTGAGTCAAAGTTCTAAAGTGCTTAAGCCATGGAAGCCACTACTTTCAACCAAGAAAGACAAATTGCACCAAAATTGTACTTCAGATTGGAAATTTCCTTCCTTCTAATTTTCCTATAATGACAGGGAAGTTATTTGTTCTCTCTGACTTCCATGTCTCAGCAAAAATCTGGCAATACTTTTGCTTTGAGGAAGAGCACTTGCTATTCACTTGGAAGAAGGACTGCGGGTCCTTTAATTCTCCAAAAATTATTTATTCCCTCGGACTTTCTGGCTATAAAACAGAATGTTTCAGAAGCAGAGTATAAAACAGATTTACGTAAAGAACAGATGACCTTTGAAACTTGGAAAAATATTACCATACTAATGTCTACTCAGCGCATATTTCAGGCATACAGATCAACAATTTGGGGCCGCCATTATTTCCAGTTGTCCTCTGAGGTCATGCTGACTTTATATTTGTTAAGCAATTTTACTTCTACCCTTCTCCAGAAAAGTGACTCTAGCCACAGGGTCAAGTATCTTCTTTGATCCATTTTTAAAACGGAGCAAATGGGAAGTTATTTACCTTTGATTTTGAATGTGCATGTATAAAATGAGTGCATTATGTAATGTACATTATTAAGAGCTAAAAATTCAAAGTACCCCTGTGTGTTTAAGTGTCATCACTACCCTTGGGAGTTGACTTTTTATCATCCTTTTGCAGCTGTCAAAAAAATGTAAGAGGCCAGGAGCTGTTGGCTCACGTCTGTAATCCCAACTACTCAGGAGGCTGAGATCTGAGGATGGTGGTTTGAAGCCAGCCTGGGCAGGAAAGTCTGTAAAACTCTCAGCTCCAATTAACCACCAGAAAACCAGAAGTGGAGCTGTGGCTCAAAGCGGTAGAGTGCTATCCATGAGCACAAAAGCTCAGGGACAGCACCCAGGCCCCGAGTTCAAGCCCCATGATATATTGATGTATTGGTGTATTGATCGATTGATTGATCGATAGAGGTATATAAGAGATTTAATATTCTGTGTGAGCGCTTCCAGGGGAAGGAAGTGGAAGTCAGGATGAGTCCCCACAACTTCTGTCTTCAGTGTCTGTGGAATGAAGGTGGGATGAAGCATTATGTAGTAACTTGGGATACATTTCAGTGTTCTATAGGGACATGATGATTGGGATGACCTGATACGGCAGAGATTATCAGCTCACAGAGCCCACGTGTTCGCCGCATGTTCCATCAGGCATAGAAGGTTCTCTGCTGTTTCAGCTTCTTTTTCCTGGTGTAAAAGAAGAAAAACTCTGATTTACCAAGACATGCCAGGATGGGTTAGATGGCCAAGAGTTTCCAAGTGTGGCCTAGTTATTTAGGTTCTATGCGATGTGGGGTCTCCATTTCCTGCCCCACTGCAAACTCCACTAATGAGAAACAGTAGGTAGCAGTGCCGCCCGGCTCTGTGGCAGGGCCTGGCCTGGCAGCAATTCTATCAGGGGACTTTTGAAAGGTTTATAACTGATCCATAAATACTTGTCACTGGCATAAACTTAGCCTGGTGGGTCACAGGTCTGGAGTAAATTATTCATTTATAAATTTCACTGACTTGCTTTAAATTGTTTTAACTGTATTTATCTTTTGTGATGGGAGGAAAAATAATGGCTTTATGGTTCAAGACATTTTTGTCCTCCTATGAATCAACACGGCGTGGGGATGCAAGTGAGAAAAAGTCAGCAAAAAGTGGCTGCTGGAAATAGACACTAATTCTTCTTTCTTTAAGAGCAGGGCTGGAGGGCTGACATTATTCAACCAAAGATCTATTAGCAGAACTTAAGGGAAGAAGTGAATGTCATGAACTATTGATTAATGTCTTAGAGCACCCATTCGTTCTTTTCTGTCCTCCCATCCACACGAGACCCAGCGAGGCTGGATGGTTGTGGAGCATGGCCATTCTCACACAGGTAGCTGCAGAGAGAGAGAGGTAGAGGCGGGAATGTGCTGGCTTAAGGCAAGGCTGGTCCGTGTGCTCTTCCAGCTGGCTGCTGATTCCCCACACTTTCTCTATGTGCTTATTTCTGAAAAGACTAATTCTATGCTTGCTTTTAAACTGTGCAAGACTTCATAATAACATAGATTCCATTAAATCAGGCATCAAATTTGTATTTACCTGCCACTTGATCTGTAGTGCTAGCAACCCAGTATACCTTGAAAGGGTTTGTGCCCAGATATATTAGCCTAAAGAAAACTTGCTTTAAAATTTTTAAATAGGGAGGGCTAGGAAGGTGGCTCAGTGGTAGAGTGCTTGCCTTGCATTCATGAGGCCCTGGATTCGATTCCTCAGCACCCCATAAGCAGAAAAAAGCCAGAAGTGGCACTGTAGCTCATGTGGGTAGAGTGCTAGCCTTTGGAAAAAAAAAAGCTCAGGAACAGTGCCCAGACCCTGAGTTCAAGCCCCAGGACTGGCAAAAAAATTAAGTATATAATATTAAATCTTCCGTAGTATACAACATGATGATTTGGTATATGTAACCATCATGCAAAACTGCTACAATCCAATTTTTCACACCCATGCTCTGTACACTGCTCACCTTACAGCTGGCAGTTCGATAGTTTGTCTAATAGCCTATTTTCTACATCCTTCAGCTGTTGTCAGCCTCATTCTACTCTCTGCTTCTGTGATTTTTTTTAACTTTCACTTACAAGTAAAGTGATATAGTATTTGGCTTATTTCATTTAGCAAAATGTTTCTAGGGCCATCTATGCTGCTGCAACTGTCAAATTATCCAATGAAACAATGGGCAAAAGAAGACATAAAACTAGCCAAGAGGTATATGAAAAAAATGGTCAGCTTCACTAGTCACGACGGAATGCCAATCAAAACCACAGTGGGTTTCTTCACCAGTGGTGGAAAACTTGTTTCTAAATGCAACATCTGAGTTCAATCACCAGCATGGCAACACAATGAAAGAAAAAAAAGAGAGAACCAATCTCCCAAATCACAATGAGATGTCATCGCATTTCAACATAAAGATAAGAGATAAGAAATGTTAGTGAACATTTGGAGAACAAAGAACGCATACATGGCATATGGGGATATAAATTGATATCCCCATTGTAGAAAGTAGCATAGACTTTGATTAAAAAATAGTGCTATAATACAATCCAGAATTCCCCCTGCTGAGTATTCACCCAAAGGGAATGAAATCCATATCTTGAAGAGCTGTCTGTGTCCCTGGGCTCATGATACATGACTCACAGTGGTCAACCTGTAGACAGTGATGGCCCTAAGTGTCCATCAACAGGTGATCACGTGAAAAACACGTGGCACACCTGTGCGCACAGGGCACCGCCAGCCCCAAAGCTGGGCATATTATACTACATGAAGAAAACCCGACATGGAAAGAAGAATGCTGTGTGAGCGGGCTCCTTCATGTGTGGAATCAAGGTTAAACCCCTTAAAACGTTCTCTTTGCAGTAAATCTCATAAAAGCATGGCTGTGTCTAGACTTTGAGTCCTAACTCATAGAAAGAAAGAAAGAAAGAAAAGGAAGGAAGGAAGGAAGGAAAGAAGGAAAGAAGGAAGGAAGGAAAGGAAAGGAAAGGAAAGGAAAGGAAAGGAAAGGAAAGGAAAGGACACCCTCCAGCAAAATAGTTGCTCGAAGCAGGACAGACAGAGTCTGAAGAATGTGGGTGGGACTGTTGGAAGGCACCATGGTTCTCCCATGGCAGGTGATTCCCAACAGCCTAGGAAACGTGGTTACAAGGGCTGCAGCTTCGGCCCTTGCACTCTCCTTTCAGCCTGCTCCTTTTCTGTGAGCAGGGATGGCCCACAGTTTGGGACATCTGGCAGGGGGCTGTGGGGTGGGGCTGGGTGAGAGGTGCAGAGGCTAGGGTCCACAGGCACAAGGCAGAGCAGTCTCTCACCGCGCTGGGCTCCTGTTCCAGTGCTCGATTGGGGGCTTGGCTCCTTAGATTCTGATCAAGTTCTGTGACGTCATTAGACTGGCCATCCTTGGCATGACTGGACAGCTGGATGAGGCCCAAGCAGGGGGGTCAGACAGCTACGGATGGGAAGTTCAGACTCTCGGACCACTATACATTTCCAGAAAATACTGACATGGAGCGATATACTCTGCCTGATTTTTTAAATTCATTAATTCAAATTTCGTAGACAATATCTTAAGCCAAAATTCTTCTGACCAAAAAAAAGAAAGAAAAAAACACCCCAAACCCAGAGTTACCCACTGGAATGCGTTGGATGCCATTCATATATCAGACATAAATGAATCTTCATTAACATACTCTTTGAGTAGAGTTTAGTTTTTGGAAAAAGGTTTTGTGCATGAGCTCAGGATCTTATTGGGGATAAAATGGCATCGTTGTTGATGTATGCTATTTATAATCATGTTCTTCTTAATTGAGGAACTAATAAAACTGGAGAAGTCATAAATTTTAGGCACATGGTAAAGCAAAATCTATCCTTTTCCCTTATCCTGTTATCTTTCATATTGGGATCTATGCACATTTTTCAATTGTTACCCAATCATGGTTACCATACCCTTACTTCATTTTATTATTATTATTTCTTTTGTGACTTGAGTTGCATTCCTAATTACTAACCTTTTTTTTTCTAGATGAACCCAGTTACCTGCAGAACCTCTTGGTGGCAGGAGGGATACTTCTGGTGGTTGCTATCTTAATTACCGTCATTTGTGTCATTTCTTATTACGGGTGAGTAGAGAAAATTACCCTGAATCTTGTTCACCCTGCATAATTCTAACATTAGAGTTGTTGTTTTTTCTATGAATAACTCAACCGTTTATTGAGCCTTCTCAGGATTCACATACATTCCTTTAGGTAGTGTTTTGAGACCAGAGGGAACAATGTTAGTGAGGAAAGCTAGGGTAGCTCACTTAGCAGCTCACTGAGCTTCCCATGTTTTCACCAGCTGCCTCTGTGGAGTCCCCTCTTCATCTTTCTCCTCTGCCAGTGAGAAGGTACTGGGGTGGGGTGGAGTTTGGGGCTCATGCTAGAGGGGCAGAGGGGAGGGAGAGAGGTTATACCCGAACCCATTCACGCATCAGATCTTTCTTGTGTGAAGTCATAAACAAGCTATAATGATACCACATTCTCATAAATTGAAGTGGCTATGATTTTTCTGGGGGAAAATAAAAGGCAAACCAGGGGCTGTTGCTAAGGATGGCGGAGGAAAGATTGTGGCTGTGTTCTTGGAGAGAGGGGCCAGTCATTAAAGTGCCACTAGACTTTCCCTGTTTTGTGGCACAGGAAATTTCTAGGATTTTCTTTTTCTTTTTTAAGTTTACTTTTATTTTACTGTAACGGTGATGTACAGAGGGGTTACATTATGCAAGTAAGGTAATGAGTACAATTAGAATGACTGTTATCAAGAAAACAAATGATCACAGATGCTGGCGGGGATGTGGCCAAAAGGGAACACTACTACACTGTTGGTGGGCTTGTAAACTGGTTTAGCCACTCTGGAAAGCAGTATGTAGGGTCCCTAAAAGGCCATACATAGAGCTCCCCTCTGATTCAGCAAGTTCTAGCACTTTCTAGGCTCTCTCTTTTCTAGACCTTCTCTTTCCCTTTTAGCTCCCCAAACTTGTTAACCTTGGAGTATAGTGTTGATGGTCCTTGACCCAAGGAATTACCTCCTATTCTGTTTCAGATAAAAGTGTTACCAACTTAAGCAAAAGAGGGGCTGCACTTAGGTTATCTGTATTTTGTATGCCTGTGGGTAAAATACAGACACAACATGTATTTGTTGTGTAAATGAATATACGAATCTCTATTCTGTCCCAGGTAATATTCACACCACACATATACACAGCTTATTAATACCAATTCCCACAGGTTTCCGTATCTTTTCTCTCTCTCCTTGACCTCTGCCTTTTCTGCTGGCAACTGTTTTCCGTGAATTCTCTCTACCCCACTGCCCTGCCATCAGCTCCAATCTCTCCTTCTAACCTATTGAGTTTTCCTTGGTCCTCTTTGAAAGTTGGACCAGCAAAATCACCTCTCTGTTTTGTACTTTATGTTATCTTTTCCTTATCACCAGATAATCTTAAAATCTCATTAACCTTATCATTAAAGTTTCCTTTCTTTCTGACTCTATCCTAATTGTCATTTGTATTTCCTCCTTCATTTACTGCATTGAATGCTAAGGAGATTTACAGAAGCTATTGCTTTTATTCTTTGAATGCATCCCACTCGCTTCCTATCTGCTATGCCATCAAAATGCAATTTCTCCCATTTGGCCTCAATCCTCAGATGCAGGACAACTCTCACTTTTGCAAGATGTGTTCTAGAACAGACATGATGTCACTATTTGGGGCCATCTCCTACTTCCTGTCTGCTGCGCCTTGCATTCTGCTTTGTACTTGAATCATTCTCCTGCTTGTCTCCCCTTCTTCAGTATCTATGGTATTTATAATGACAGGGATTGTATTGTGTCCAGTTTTTAACATTTGCTCACAGTTAATCTGTCTAAATGACAAATGTTCAATAAGCCTCTATCTGATTACACCAAAACACAGTACAGTGGTCTTACCTTTCTCTCTATCTCCCTTGACCAGAAACTACTAACAAAGGGAAGGCTTAGTGTCACTGAGGCTTCTCTACTGCTTGACCTTGGTTGATTAAGAAATGCAAAGAGGAGGCTGGGAAGGTGTCTCAGTGGTAGAGCTCTTGCCTTGCATGCATGAGGCCCTGGGTTCGATTCCTCAGCACCACATAAGCCAAAAAGAAAAAAAAAGCCAGAAGTGGCGCTGTAGCCCAAGTGGTAGAGCACTAGCCTTGAGCTGAAGAGCTGAGGGACAGAGCCCGGATCCAGAGTTCAGGCCCCACGACCGGACCTAAAAAAAAAGAAAAAGAAATGCAGAGAGGGCAGAGGGCAGCAGAGGAGCGTGAGGCGGGGATGGAGGTAGAAGGGAGGAGAGAGTGACCTGAAGGGTGAGCCTCTTAGAGGTGACAGCAGTTGGACATGACAGACTTTTGCTTCATGAAAATATGACATTTCATGTAACGGACTAATTGAACTATACAGAACATTTTCTTACTTGATTAAATGCAATAAATAAAACATTTAGTGGAGTTGAATGCATAATCACAGATGAACAACACAGAAGAAAGGAACTAGCATTCCATTTACCTTGTTGATGGCCTGCTTCTGGTTGTTACTTCATACGGAAATGTCTTGAAAAATGATGCAGGCACTTCTCAATAACCCCTGGAACTCTGCCTGACCAGATGTGCTGACTTCAACAGAAGCCCAAATAAATTCCAACTTTCTGCCTTACCCCCAATTGCCCATGTTGCTGAGAGCTTTGAGAACAGCTACTGTCTTCCTGGTTTGTGCTGTTTCCATGTAGAGATCAGAACCATGGCGCCAGGTAGGGAAGACAACCAGGAGATGTGCAGAGCTCAAGTTAGCATGAAAAGAAGCAAAGGGTATTCTGTAGAGGGACACCTGTGTCTGTAGAAATAAATTAGCCAGTGAGACAAGTGTTAGACCCTTATTTGTATATTAACTGTTATAATTGTTAATCTTAACAAATATGGTGTGATGGATGGAGATGGCCTGAGCCTTTCCTGGTTTCAACTTTGAAAATAAAATCTCATCCTAAATCCTGCTTTAGTCCCAGACAACCCAGGACAGCTGGTCGACCTAGACATGATAAGGTGCTGTCTTTTTTACAGATGAAAGGACAGACCTTTAGAGGTGTAAATCACCCATCTGGTAGACAGCAGAGCTTAAAATTACACACAGATCCCCAGACTCTAAGCCTCAGGTTCCTTTTGCTCATTATGTCCAATGACCTACACACACACACACACACACACACACACACACACACACACACACATTCTGCTTAGGTATATTTTGATTAAGTCCTGAAAGATTTTGATAAGACTTTACTATTATTTTTATCCTAGAAGTTTCACTGAAGTAAAGCATCAGCAAATTGGTTCAGCCCAGCTCAGCTTTCCTCCCACAGGGCAGGCACCACCACAAAGGAGAAAGCGTCTGGTCTTGCGTAGCTCAGGCCAGCCCTCCCACAGCCACTATCCTGGGGCGGTCACCCACAGGGCGATCTTGTCTGTCTCAAATAAACCAATGACAATCAAAGGGAGGAGAGCACATGGGGGAAGGACAGAACAACACAGCTGGCCCTGACCACACACACTGGACGAGCGGGCCCGGCTGCTCACTCTTCCAAGTAGCCTTTACTTCCTCTTTGTTAAATAAACTCTTTGTTACCCTACTATAACCACAGTCTTGTTCCTCACTTTTATTTCTATATTGTCACAGAACAAGGACCCTTCATACCCATGAATCAACCCTGTGGGTATTTAAGAGCACTTTAATTGTGGGAAATTCTCTTAAGCCCCAAATCATCAAGAGAAGGCCCTAAGTCATTTCTGTAGTGAGTTTCTATGAGCCATTTTTAGTTAACATCAGTGTGATTTGTTATTAATACAATATTCCCTGGCTGGATAGGCATAGAATTGTCCTCACCATCTGTGAGCACACAGAAGAAGAGAGTACAGAAATTCAGCTCATTCTATTGGAGACATTTACATGAAGCAATGGGGGGTTGCTATGACTACATATTTACTAAGAGCATCTGAGCTGGGGATATAATAGTTGAAATGATAACCAGTGCTGACAAATAGTGTCTTAATAATATTCTTTCTTGAATTTATATTTTAGAAGGAGGAAATATACAAATGGCCTGTTTAAAGAGTCCTCTGGAATGCAGAATAAGGTGAGTGCACTCAGAACTGTCATTTTCTCATTTGTGATTTATGCATATCTTGGAAATCAATGTATTTTGTAATTAGAAATTTTATTTCTTTCTTCTTTCAATAACATGGGCACAAAGTTGTCTGAAATTCAAGCATCTAGTCTTTGAAGGAAGACTTAGTTATTAATTTTTGAAGGAAAAATGTTTAGTGATTCTCTAAATTCTTCTTTTCTGGCTGATACACTGACATGAAATTGTCTTCATATCAATTAAATAAAGGAGCAATTACACAGATGCAATAACAGTTAATACTATGCACTACCACAGGGCATCAGTGGCTCATGCCTGTAATCCTAGCTACTCAGGAGGCTGAGGATCTGAGGATCATGTTTCAAAGCCAGCCTGGGCAGGAAAGGCTGTGAGACTTTTATCTCCAATAAACCACTAGAAAACCGGAAGTGCCATTGTGGCTCAAGTGGTAGAGTGTTTGCCTTGAGCTGAAGAGCTCAGGGACGCAGGGACAGTGCCCAAGCCCAGAATTCAAGCGCCACAACCAAGAAAAAACAAAACAAAAGAGCCCAAAATACTATGTACTACCAAAGCCCGGACTAATTTCCCAGGGCTGTGAATAAACGATACCAATCGAGTATCTTCAAACAAGAAATCCATTATCTTCTGATTTGGGAGGATTGATGCCTCCTCCCCCAAACCTGTGAAAAATGATGCGATTTTGGGGTGTGAAATCTGTTTTATGCTTTCCCTGTGGATTTCCCATAGGGAAGAAATCCTGCCTATATTCCTTGGTGGTTTTTGGACTATAGACATATTGCTAAATTTCTTTCTATGCATCTCTGTCTGTCTTCACAGGGAATTTCTTGTGTGAGTCTATGTCTCTTTTCTTAGAAAGACACTGATTACCAGTCACATCAACAAAGATTTTATTTCTGAATAAGGTCCTATATAAAGGTCCCAGGGAAGGTATTAATTTTAGGGGATGAAACTATTTTAATCCAGTATAGAGCACAGCATTTTTCTCACATGGTAAGATTATCACAAAGAATAATTAAACAGCATACATGGTTCAGAAGCACAGCATACACCCTGAGGGGAATAATGCATGGTATTAATTACTCTTATTACTTGGAATTCATTTATTAATTAGTGTTCCAATTAGATTATAAAACAAAAGAGCTTGCTTATGGGTTATAAGACTCTCACGAACTATAAAATTTTACTTCTAGATCTACTTTTTCTTCTGCCCCTTGCTGTTTAATTAAAAGTAGAGGAACTTCTTCTGAGTGTGCATGGTCTTCATATGTTAATTCTCTCTCTTTAGCACATATTATTCTGTGTATTAAATTTCACAATGACACATTGCTTTGGAGCGAATATTCTTGACGCTCTCACAGCTCACATGTTGAAGTCCTAGAGTCCCCCTCCCCAGTATGGTAAGAGGAGGTAGGGGTCTTTGGTCTTTGACTGGTAATGAGGGTGGAGCCCTCAAGGTAGAAGCAATGCCCTTAGAAGAACGAATGCACAACCTCACTTCTTGGTTTGTTTTCTGCACTAAAAGACTGGGCACAGGAAGAGGAAGGCCATCTTCAAGTCAAGAAGCAAGCCCTCAACAGACATTTGCCCTCGGACTTCATATCTCTGACAATGTGAGAAATAAATGTGTTTTTTAAGCTACTACTTTATGCTGCTCTATTAAGCAGCTTGGACTGACAAACTTTTTTTTTTTAATCAATTGCTATCCAAAGTTTCATCCATTTTTCTGCCTGGCTGAAAAGTGAAGGACTGAAAAACGTCTCCTGCAACCCAGCACGGGCTTCGCACTTCTCTAACACCTGTCAGCTTCACCTTTTCTAATACGAAGCAATTGCTCGCTGCAAAATGACTATTTTTCCTGCAATCTATGGCTGGCTTTTTGTCACTAATTGGAGAATTTGCCACCTTAGAATCCAGTAAAGTGATGTTCTATCATATCCCAAATTTAGATTCTTTTTTTTTGACTTAGCCATTTGCTATACAAACCAATTCAAAGGCAAGTTAATTGTTATCTATTTTTATGGGAGAAAAAATTTTAACAACCTACATTAACCATTTAACTCTTTCCAGCTTTTGTCAAGTACTGATATTTTGGAGGATGATAATTTAATAGTGAGTTGGACTGTGGAAGATAAAAGATGGGAAAGTTTCTTGATTTTCTACTCATGTTTCTTTTTTTCTTTCTTTCTTTTTTTATTGTGAAAATACTGTACAGAGGGGTTACAATTACATGGGCATCTACTTGTGTTTCTTGCCCAAGGTCTTTCATAATATTTAGAAAGGCAACACAGGTAAAAGTGTACTTGAATTTTTCCCCTGAAGTTCTATTAGGAGCACCAAAATTGTTCTGAATTTCCAAACAACTGAGCAAAAGATTTGTATGTATGTATGTATGTGTAATCTATCTATACATATATATTCACATATACATGTGGATCTGTTTCTCTCTCTCCATAAACATGCATATATACACATATACATTCTCATAATATGAACACACATATAGGTCTTTCTCCCACTTGCATATACCTTCTGATGTAGGCAGGTGGAAAAAGTAACTTGATCAAGGTAGAGAAGATTATTATGTCATATCATCTTAAAAAGAAATAGTAGTTTGTTTTGATAATACATTTCAGTGTATTTAGTTGCTTATTGTACTAAGCAAGGACATTGTAAGTTTATTAATATATTCACTCAACAGACATTACTATGGTTACTCATTATAGGAAAATTCTTTATTAGACTTCTCATACCAAAAAATGAGAATAATTGTCCAGACAGCCTACCATTAGTAGAAGATATTCTATATTAAAATGGGCAATTCATAACTGATAACCTAGATAAGATGTATACCGCAGTCACTTGGAGTTCTGGAAACTGAGAATGTGATTGCTAACCAAAGTTCCATAAAATTAAAGGAATGAAAGGAATACTTCATGTCATTGCTTGAAATGTCAATTTGGTCTGTATCATTTTTAAGTGAAGGACTTTGTTCTGAGTGTTTGTGTTGAGTGCTGCAATATAGGGAGTTATTCACCCTTCCCTGTCCCCTTGCTGTTTGCCTTTGTAGAGAGCCAACAACTCCAGAAGTCCGGTCTCCTACAGACAAGCCAAGGACCACGCACAGGATGATATTTATGTGAACTACCCAACCATGCCTCAAAAAACAAAATCCAAAGTCTAAGCTGTTCCCATGATCTGAGTGCATTAGGACCACTATTTAAAAAATGTTATCTTGAAGTTGTACAAAAGATGTGTCATTTAATAAAGCATTCTGAAGACGCTATATCTCAATCAGTGCCACCCCTCCACATTCTCACACACTCTCCCCTAGCCCCCTTGCCTCATTCTTCTTTTTTTTGGGGGGGTCCACTCGTGGGGCCTGAACTCTGGGCCTGGGCGCTGTCCCTCAGCTCTTCAGATCAAGGCTAGCACTCTACCACTTGAGCCACAGTGCCACTTCCGGCT